GAAAGGAAACTCAACCTTCACCATGCTTAGGGGAGGAGAAGGTCCTAGAGCTGGGGAGAGAAGAGTCTCTGTGAACAGGGCTTCAAAAGCATAAATCCTGCTTTCCGATGAAGGTCTGGCAGTCTGCTGCCTGTAAGCAGCTGGGCCCAGGGGCTTGCTGGTAGGTGCTAGCACCCAATAAAAGAAGTCTTTGCCTCTGACTGGGCGCTGTGAGGCAAGCAGCCGTGCGTGAGGGCGCTGGCTCTGCTGCAGCGCTGGTGGCCGCCTTCCTTCCCTTCCTCTTGTAGGACACGTGGTTGGCCCCAGCTCTCGTGGGTGCGATGGCAGGGTGTGCCCCCCGAGGATGCATCCCTGAGCCAAGTCCAGAAAGCACCAGGAGAACCGATAGCCGCAGTCCAGCCTTGTCCTTGGGGAAAGCTTGAGGACAAGCGACAACTGGAAAACAAATCTGCCGACCACCAGAGCCTGCTGCTGGCAGCAAGAAAAGCCTGTTCCTCCCAAGCTGCCTGCTGGCATGGCTCCAGGCACAGACGGGCTCCTGTGTAGGTCGCCCGTGTGCTCGCCGCCAGCTTTCCCCGCGTCCTTGTTGAAGAGGTGGAGGAGACGCGTTAGCAGGGGAGCACAGGACCGTGTCTGCTGGGGAACGTGTTCAGCCTACAACGCCATCGGTATTTCTGTTCCCTGTGAGTGCGTTTTGACGGCGTAACAGTTTGAGGGCCATGACAGCACCCAGCCTGAGCCATGAGCTCTTGCCTCTCCCCTCTCCAAGAAAAAGGACGACCAGGAGGCCAAGCTCGCGCCTGCTGGAGAGGGGAGCGTTGCCTGCTGTTGCACGGCGCGGCGGCCAGCTGGTGTCCAGCCCAGCACGGCTCCTTCAGGCTGGTATCACACTGCTGACTTGGATGAGTCACAGCTGATTTTTTTTTCCCCCTCCTTGTTTTGCTTGCAAGAAAGACCTGTTTTCCATATAATACAGTAATCAGGGCTTGACATAAATAGGCAAATGTTATTGTCTGCAGTGGGACTTGCACCTGCTGGCAAGAGCAATGAATGCAGCCCATCATGCACCGGAGCTGATCATTTGTGCAATGAAGTACAACTACGTTTCTTGCTGCGTTCTTGTGCAAGTCTTTATCTCAGCGGCTGTGAGCATGCACCATCGGCACCTTTGCGTCTGTCCTCACCCCAGGAGCCAGACCAGCCTCTGTTTCTGCAGCTGTGGCCGGCCCTCTCCCAGAGGGGTGGAGGGGACCAAGATCTTCAGCTGAGGGATGTCCCTGCTTTGGTGCTGGCTGCATTACAAAGCCAAACAGCCTCATCCCTGAGCATCAAGGCTGCACTTTGCGGGCAAGAGGGTCCTGCTCCCAGGATATGCAGGACCCTGGATGGATGCCTGGATGCACAGAGCATGTAGCTCTTGTTTATGGACTTTGTTGCAGGAAAAGTGGCAGCAGTCTCACCAGCTGAGGAGGTATGAGCAGCGGTGCTTTGGAGGGACTTGGAAGACTGGTTTAGCTGTAGGCTGCTTGTGTAGAGTCCAGGCTTCCAGCACGATAAGTTTTCTCCAATAATAATAAATAGAGGTTGTCTTGTTGCTGCTGGAGTCTGGGCTTAGCTTGGCTAAAGCGGATCCAGCAGCTCTGAACTGCTGCATCCACAGCTTAGGAGAGGGTTGGAAGAGGTGCAGTGCAAGGAGAGGAAGCAGAGGACACACACGCTCTTTGTGGAGTGAAAAAGATGAGCACAAATCCCGTGGGAATGCCAAAATGTGCAGGATGCTGCGTGTGCAGGTATTTCTGCTGGGCCAGCATCGAGGGGCAGGGAGGACGTTGAGCTTAAGAGCATCAGCATTAGAGCAGGAACAGGCAGATCGTGGGCTTTGCTTGCTGAGCTAAGTGAAAACACTCACTCACTCCGTGGTAGAAATTGCTGTTTATTAGAAAAAAATTCATAAATAAAATAATTTCGTGTTGTGATTTACATTTTGCAGCTTAAGAGCAGGGAAAAAAACCCACTAGGAGTTGCATGTAAAACAGCTCTAAGCCTTACCCATCGGTTTGTTTGCCACACAACTGCAAATCTGAGGCTGTAGGCTTGCCCTCGTCCTTTCACTACCCAGCTCCCACCCCCAAACAACAGCCTGGCCAGTGCCTAAGTAAGTTCCCAGGGATCATCTGATTAACAGGGAAATAGAAATTGAATTAAAAATTGGGAAAAAAAAACCCCAGAGAGGAAGTTTAACAGAAGGATGTGCGCTCTCCATCACTGATACAGGGAAAATCCCTCCACGTAGTATCTTCCCCTGCCAGTGGTCCTGACCCGAGTGATGGCAACCCCTGGCACCTCTCCATCCCCGCCCCCATCATCCGGCTGGGCTCAGCTCCCGCCTGCCTTCCCACAGGTTGGGCAAAGCCCAGGGACGGTAAATAGTGAGGGGTTAGGAGGAACAGACAGTTTGCAATAAGTGCATTCCTACCACCACCAGTCACAGTCTGGTTCCTAATAAAGGCTCTGATAAGGAAGCTGGAATCCCTTTTAACTTCTGATCCGTTCAGAGATAAGTTGGTTTAGACATAAACAAGTGCTTCTGTCACTGGCAGCTCTCAGAAATGCAGCTGTGAGACCGAGCTAGCCCCTGAGTGGGACCTCACTGCCGCTCCCAGGGGAGTTACTCAGACAGCTGCATCCCCATCTGGAGGGAGAAGAGGATGACTTACTCTTCCTAGTAAAGGTCTTCTGCACAACTCCGTAGGCTTTTCTGGGAGAAGGAGAGGGGAGAAGAGGTAAAAATAAGGAATGACGTCTTTAAACTGTTACCGGGTTTTGAGGTGAAGGGAAGTCACCTTCCTGGGCTGGTTTTCTCCACGGGGCCCTTCAAGATCATTTTTTACTCAAATTGGGAGAAACTAGAGCAGAACTGTGCTGAGAAAAGCATTTCTCTTAGGCCTCAGCACTGCTTGAAGGTAAGAGGAGGGCGAGGGCAGCTGGTCTGTCCTGCAGCCTGGCTCCCCTCTCTTCATGGCATCCCTCAGTGTGGGCACCGGCATGGGGCTGGCATCAAGACACCGGCAGTGGGGCAGCAAAGCCCAGACAGCAACGCAGGGCTGCTTGGTCGCAGGAGAAAAGTCAGCCCACTCCCTCACACCAGTAGAAATGGGACAGCAGAAGCTGGCACTATTTGATTTAACTTTTCCCTGGGTTATTGCATCTTCCCTTTGAGAGACTGGCTTTCTGGGTAGAGTTCCTGGCTTCTCAGTACTCTGATTAGACCAGGTGGTCTCAGCCTTGAGACAGCTCCCATTTGCATGGGTTTAAACTCTCCAGTGTCACTGTCCCCTCTGACATCTCCTACAGCTCCTCGTCCGACAGGATCAGCACTCTCTTCTCAATGTTTTTGCTCTTTCTGCCACTCGGTCCCTCCACCTTGGAGGCCATGTGCCCGTTCTCCCCCGGCGCTTTGTGCTCTGCCTCCTGCATCGACTGCTGGGTGTACTGCTGGTATGCAGGCGAGAAGTTGTGGATCGCATCCTGCACGATGTCCTGGGGGCTTATGGTCTCCTTCAGCCCACTGGAGATGCTCTGCATCGGGGCAAGGTTTGCTGAAAAACAGGGAGAGCGGGAGGGCGATGGGACATCAGACAGTCAATGTTCCCAAGCGCTCCAAGACTGGAGTGACACTTTTCCTTAGAAATTCAAAAGCAGTGGGCCACGTCAGCTTGTGGTGGCGAGTGTCAAGGAGAAGAAAGGCAACCCCAGCTACATGTTTGTAAGAGGATGGAACCTCTCCAGCAGCATGTGCTGTAATACCATAATCCCCTAATTCTGCCCATCCACACCAAGGTCTCTTTTCCTATCCACTCGCTGCAGCTCATGGGTATCATGAGGGAAGAGGGAGAAGGAACTCATGGAGCACAAGAGAAGGAAACAACTCCTCTGGTGGCTTTTAGCATCCCATTGGTAATGCTATAAGGGGGGGGTGTCTCCTCTTTCCTTATTCACCAATGAAGGAAGGAAGAAGAGAGGAAGAGTTACCTGTTGAATTTTCTTTCTTTTCTCTGTACACCTGGCAGGTGAACGCATAGCGCAGGGCAATGGAAGCAAAGAGCATCTCAATGCAGATGATGAAGTTCTGGTAGCCAGCAGCCACCGTCCCAGCTCCCACCTCCTTCCCATCGATGATCTGAACTTCAGGGATCACCCCACATTTCTCCAGGATTGCAAGCAGTGTCCCTGTGCAGGGGGAGGGAGAGGGATCAGCTCTGGTCCTGCATCCCTGGGTCAGGTGGGCCTATGGGAGGAGAAGCACTGGGTGTCTGTGGTGGGACCCACCTTGCCAGAAGGAGAGGAAGATGACTGCCTTGATGGTGATGAACTTGAGGACTGGCTCAAATGGGCGCAGCAGGTCCATGGTGGCGAAGTAGAAGAGGAAGAGGGCATAAAGTGCCAGGCTGACGGAGAAGTTGTAGATGATGGTGATGTAGAGGTAGCCGCTTTGGACACTGTGGGGAGAGAGAGAGCAAGCTGCTGCGCTGGGCTGTGAGAAGTGAAGCGAGTGCAACCAGAGGCAAAGAAGAAAGAAATGGAAGGGGAGAAGTGCATGGCTTTGCCATGGGGGAGAGCACAGCCCAGGAGGGGAGGGAGAGGCAGGGAGAAAGGGGGGGGGAGCAGGGGGCCACTCTCAGCTTTTCCTCTGTTGGTGGGACATCTTAAATTATGCCTCACAGGAGTTTCGTCCCTTTCTTATTTGGGGGCAGTGAGTCCCTGTTCCCTGGTGCTTTGGCCTCCCTGTGCTCCCACTACCCTTGGAGCAGCTCCCCAGGGGGGGCTGACAGGACTCCCTGTCCCCTGTGATGGAGCAGGGACCTGTCCTGTCCCCTTCACCCTCCCCAGCCCGTCCCAGCATCCTCACTTGAAGTCCCCGTCGTGGTACTTCCCGAACGCCTGCAGGATGATGGTGATGATCGCCATGAGGGGTTTCACGATGCAGAACTGCAGCGTGGCCTGCACAGGGGAGAGACACGGTGCACCCCAAGCAGCAGGGACATCCCACCACCCTTCCTGCAGCTCCTGCCACCCCCGGCTCCTCCACGTGAGCCAACCCCTCTGCTCTGGGGACAGAGGCACAGAGAAAGCAGTTCATCACAGGAGTGACCAATGCTGCAGAGTGAAATATGAACCAGCTCAAGCTCGGCAGATGGGAGGGAGCAGGGCTCCCAAAAGGCAGCTCCTGAAAGGCAGCATAGCTACTCCGAGGAGGGGGACCGGGTGGCTGGGGACAGACCGGTGCCAGGATTTGGCCTGTAGCGCAGCCCTGGAGAGTTAGAGAGCCGTCCAGGCTAACCTGGGACTGGACAGAGATGGCAATCTCAGCTCTGCAGTGGGAGGAGACCCTGACTCAGCAGTGAGTCAGAGGCAAGGAGAGCGAGCGAGGCGCCCTGCTGCTGGCCAGGTGCTGGCAAGCTGGGTGAGCTGCCTCCCTTGGAGAAAAAAAAAAACAAAAGAGCATCTTGGGAGAGCAGTGAAGCAGAGCCCTCTTGGCAGGGCAGCGGGGAAGGGACCTGCCACCTGGAGAGCCCTTGTCGGAGGGGAGTGGAGCTGATGCGCCCCATTAGGTACCCACCTGCTTGCAGAAGCGCAGGAACCCGATAGAGTAGGACATACCCTGAAGGCAGCAGGTCCCATAAAAGCAGCTGGACCTAGAAGCAGAAGCCAAGGAAATGCTGTTGGGGCTGCTGGGTGGGGAAAGCGGGTGGAGGACTGAGGAACTCGTGGGATGCTGGGACTTACGCAATGGGCTTCCCTCGGATCTCTGTCATGATGGTGCTTTCCCCTCCGAGGTACTCAAAGCACAGGCTCAGGAAGCTGTAAATCACGAAAGCTGGCAAGGCAAGGGCAGACACAATCAGCAGGGCTTATGGAGATCCAGGAGGGGCATGTTATTACATTTCACATCCCTTCCTGCTCAGGTGTCTTCTCATCCACCCCAGCACAGCATCAGAATTTGGGAGACTGCTAGGTGGGAGCACAGCGAGAGGAGCAGCAGGTCAAATTCATCTGACTTCCAAGCAGAGTCAGATGCACCGCACCACATGCACCGGGTTTGTTGCAGATGCAGCAGCTTCTCTGTGCACACACAGACCCTGTGTGCATGTGGCAGCAGTCGGACGTCCCAGCAGTGCTCGTGGAGCTGGCCTCCATGCACACCCAGACAAACCCAGGCAGGAGTGCAATGGCCAGGGACCATCAGCATGGAAGGACCTCAGAATTGCTAAGGGGCAGCACAAGTGGCTGGTGGCCAGCAAGGAGCAGGTCCTGAACAGTTTTCTTGAACATCCCCATCACTTATTTTTCATATACTCCAAACCTGAAGTAATACACATAACCCACACCCCTCTGTTCACCGGGGGAGAGCAACAAGATGGAAGAGCAACTTCAACCCTGATGAGCTTCCCCTCCGCCTCAAAACATCCCAACTCCCCAATTTCTTAGGTACATCTACTTTCTGCTTTAGAGAAGCTGCATTTCTACCCCAAAGACAACCAGAAAATGTCTTTCCCCAGGAGCATGATGCTGGGTTCCCTCTGAGCCTGCAGGCAGGCAGCGGAAAGACACCAGCTCGTGTCTACCAGTGGGGCATCCCCTCCCTGCTGCTGATGGAGAAGGATGGGGAAAAACCTCTGCACAGAGGAAGGGAGAGTGGGAAGTGAAAGAGATGAAGATTTGCCACTTTTTGCAATCCAGGACACTCCAGAGACACAGGTCAGCAAGATGAGAGCCCTGCTTTGCCACTAGCCTCCGTGCCAACGAGAGGCTGCACTCACCTTCATAGCAGTCGCGCACCGAGTCGAAGTAGACGTAGTACTGGTGGCTGCCGAGGAGGAGGAGGCTGAGCCAGGAGTCGAAGGCATAGATGGGCACAATGAAGAGGATGCGGATGATGTAGCGCTGCTCCTTGGGGATGGTGTAATTCCTCAGGTGTGTGTAGATCTGCAAAGTGCCCAGCACGTAGAGCTGTGGCTACCACTGCTCAGGAGGGGAACCAGAGGTGTCCCCAGCCCGGGGGGCTGCAGGAGGCTTGTCCCAAGTTGACCCTCCTCCCAGGGATGAAAGCACCGCCGGCTTTCCACCACAGACCCACCACAGTGAGCAGACACATGAGACAGGCTCCATCCTGGTCCCCGGGGCAAGCCCCTCTACAAAAACACATGGAAATAGGGTCCCTTCCCTGGCGCTGTGCGAGGAGTGTGCCCTCCTCCATGGCAGCCCATGTGCAGCCCCGTCCCAGTGCTCGGAGGCACCAGCTTGCCCCAGGGCTGCCTTCAGCAGCACGGATCCACGCAGCACCCAAAAACATGCCCGCTGGTAGTACATTTCAAGGCAGCCAGCGGCGCACACCCGAAAGGCACAGACCCCAGGGTGGCAGATGAGAAACTCCGCTGGGTGTTGCCTTCAGGCAGTGCTGATGCCCTGCAGCCTCTCCTGGCTCTGGCAGCCACCTGGGGAACGTGTGGGCAAAGTCCACCCTCCCGAGTTGCCAGCACCAGGCTCCCGACAGTGGAGATATCCCCTCCGGGCAGCAACAGGAGGAAATATTTACCCGGAGCTGAGTGATCTGCAATGAACTTGGGGGCAATGAGTAGTTTTGCCCTTGCATCAACCCCAGTGCTGAGCCCTGTCTCCACTCCAGCCCGTACCTGGTGGAAGGTGACAATGAGCGCCGACCACACGAAGATGCCGGAGATGACCTGCGCCGCTGTCGTGGTCAGGAAAAGCTGCTGGCCATCCTCAGAGTCGTTGTGGGTGGCCGTGAGCAGGGTGAGGGCCAAGGATGGGGGAGCTGAGGCGAGCCTGGCCACCGTGCTGAGCCCCGGGGTGCCGGGTGCCACAGGAGAGGGCAAGGCACGTGTGGCATTACTCATCTGCAGGGAGGGAGAGGCAAAGGGAGCAGTGCAGGAAGGCAGGACGGAGGTAAGCTGGTGAAGGGGAAGGTCCCAGTGGATTTCCTAGCCCACACATTGTGAACAAACCTCCTGTGAGGTTTATCTCCTGCCCAGGCTTTTTCCAGGGTGTCTCTCACCCAAACCAGTCTGTTCACCATGATTGGGTCTGCTTCTCCCAGCAGGAAAATGGAAACATCCTTCAAGAGCGGACCTGCTTTTCTCCGAGGAGCTGTGTGCAGTCCCTGTGTCCCCCAAAACACACGCTTCTCCTTCCCAGCCTTGCTACTTCTTGTTTTCTTAGGGGTCACTATCCTGCTTGAAAGGGAAAGACCTGCCTGCGTTTGTGCCCCTGTGCGTTCACACTTGTGGCTCAGGACCCTTTTCCATCAGAAACCAGAGACTTAAGGGTTAAAATCCTCCCTCACCCATGATAATAATGAGCCCCTTACCAACAAGCCATCAGGACACTGATGTCCTCCTTGGGAGCCCAGAAAACACTGGGATCCCTCTGGTGCCCCCTCAAAATTTGGCTCCTTTCCTCATGTGTGGCCTGCTGGCGGCAAACCCTGGGGCTGCCCAAGAAGCCAGAGGTTTGGCATCACCAGGGCATTTGGCCAGCCCCGGCCATTTCGGGATCACGGGGGTCTTGGTGTGCCAGCAATGCCAATCCCAAGAACTGAAGGGCAGCCAGTGGTCCCTCCCACACCCAAATTAAGCACAAGGGAGCAAGCCTGCCATGCTGCAGGCAGAGCAGGTGGAGCTGCTGCCCTTTGGGGATGCTGAAGCATTCCAGCATCTCCCCGACAGGTCTGTCCTCCTCGAAGCCGGTCGCCCCAAGGCACCAAGCATTCCCAGTGCAGAGGGTGGCTGGGGCGTATGGGCACCATGTACCCTGTGGCTCCACACCAACCTAATAATACACTCTTATTTATAGGGCAGCTTCATATCTCAAGGCCAACAGATGCATAAACTGCCATGTTGGGCCTCTCTTTCTGCTAATCTATGAAAAGCTGCTTTTTCCCAAGTATAACAATAGCGGTTTAAAAAAAAAACAAAACCAACAATCTGCAAGCAGAGCTCTAACTATATAGATGCTTCTCGGTGCATTGTTAATAAACAAAGATTTTAGCTGCTGAGTAACTATCACCTAGAGGTAAAACTGTAAGCATGAACTGGTGAGAGGCAAGAAAATACCTGCCACAGATAAGAGTGGTGGGAATGACCTCGGTCCAATTAAACACAGAACCCAAAGTAGGATCTCGCCTGGCGGCTTTCTCTCCTGCCCTCTCCCCGAACCCCAACCTCACAGGAGAGGAAACTCAGCTGGTGTCAGATCAACAGTCCTAAAAATACCTTCCC